CTTCATCCCTGAGATCAGGGCCCCTGAGAATTTTGATGCTGCTGGGAGCCTCGTGGTTCAGGCAGGCAGTGGGATCTCATAAGTTACAAGAAATGTGGGAAAGGGTCTTTCCAGGGCTGGAGTGCAAAGCCCAGGAAAGGCTTTGAATCAGTGTGTATGGACATTTTTTAGTTAAAAATACTTACTTTAAAAAATAGAGTGACATAAAATATAAAATGACTGCAAGTGAGAGGGTTTACCTCCTCTTGCTCCAAATATTTATCATCAGCTCAGCACTCCCACGTCTTCAAATCAATAGTCCAAGTAAACACAGTGCACCAGCTCAATCAGTGGAGAAAGCCGCTTGCCCTTTCATGTGGAGTGTGTGTTTCCCCAAGGAATACAGAAGACATGTAGAAACCCTGACTCTAAGTATCCATCAATGAAGCCTACTTGAAAGTAGTGTCTTTGCATATGTAATTAATTGAGTCCATAATGGCTTAGAGTGGGTCCTAAATGAAATGCAACTGGTTTCCTTACAAAGAGGAGTAACAGATAACAACAGAACGCCCAGAAAAAAGTTACATAAAGCCAGAAGATTGCAGTACTGCATCTGTAAGCTAAAGAATGCCAAAGCAGCCAGCAGGACTGGAAACTAAATGAGGAGCATGGGACATTCTTCTCTGGGAAAAAAAAAAAAAACATGGCTCTGGAACTCTTCTTGTTAGAGTACTGGCCTCTGGAGTTGTGAGGTAGACTTCGCTTGCCTTAAGCTACCTGCTTGTGGTAATTTGCTCTGGAAACTGACACACAGAATGCATTAGTTTGCATGGTGCTGGCTTCCACGATGTAGTCCAAAGGCACATACCCTCATGCCAGGGAAGGGCGCGGGCGCTCACGGATGGAGGCCAGGGCATTCACTCCTGGTGTCTCTTATACCTGGAATCTCTTGCCTCAAGTATTTGCTGAGACCCACGGAGATGGTTGGGGGTGGGGTTAGAGGGCCAGGAGGTTGAAGCGCTCAGGTGCCTGCCTCGTGGGCCTTCCTGACCTGCCCTACCTAAAACAGCTCCCTGCCCCGGCACTCTCTACTAAGTGCTTTACTCTCCTCATGACACGCTCCTCAATTAATTTGAATTTACATATTTCCTTCCTTCCCTTCCCTCCCCCTCCCTTCCCTTCCTCTCCTTTCCCTTTCCCTTCCTTTCCCCTCCCCTCCGCTGCCCTCCCTTCCTTTCCCTTATTGTCTGCTCTGCCCAGTGGAATCTTCATAGGCCACAGGAGCAGGAGCTCTCTGCGATGCTCACCAGGCCTAAGAGCAGCTCCCACCACACAGTAGTCACTGGAGAGTGCTTGCTAAATGAGCGGTGCTTGCCCAGTAAGCCACCATTGAAAAAAGAAATGAAAGCCATATACCCGATTGTCAGTGTGCTCCTATCTTTTGATTGACATTTCTAAAGCTGTTCTTTATAGAAATCAGGGAAGAACTATAGCGAACACACACAATCTCCACATGACTGTGTGTAGACAAGCTGGGCAATGAGGTTCCCACATTGGATTTAGATCTTGTGAGACTATCGGGGGCAGGGGTCGGCTCTGTGCTCACATTTGAACCACTGTGTGTGTGTGTGTGTGTGTGTGTGTGTGTGTGTGTGTGTGTGTTGTCCACCAGGAAAGCCAGGGAGCACCAGAAGCTTCTAAACCAAAGTCACTTGAGGGTAACTAACAACCATGAATTACCCTCATCTCTCCCTCAGAATAACTTACCTCCAACAATTCTCCCAAATTGTAAAGGGATCATTTAATGTAGAGGTCTCCAGGGCATATAATCCACTCAGGAAATGTAGCCATGAGAGGGAGCCCAAGAGCAAACCAGAATGACACTGGACTCCACTGGATGAGAATAATCAGTCCCCAAGTCCTAATCAAGGCCCATGCCAGAATCACCCTATGGGCCAAGCTGGAGACAGCAAGCCCTAGTTTGGTTCCTATACTGTGGGACACTATGGGCACTCAGCTGTTTTCAAAGATATGGGATGAGCTCAGTGGCACCGTGTGATAGCTTACAGGCCAGGAGATTGGAGATAATGACAGAAACTACCATTTGCCAGCCAAAACTTCATCCTGCACATGCTATTGCCTGCCTACTGACCAATGAGATTTCAGTAAGTTTAAGCCTTTTTACAATGACCTGAGGCTTCTTCCCTTTTGCTCAGACACTAAGGGCATCCAAAGTTCCAGGAGCCTTCTTGACCATGAGTGAACTTAGGACTGGGACTCACATGCTAAGGATGGAGGAACAGAAATATAAAAGTCTGCATCCCCAGAGCGGCCACAAAGCACAGTGACAGCTCTGTGCTGCCTGACTCGGGCGTTCATATGAGAAGAGTAAACTGACTTCCGTACGGCACTTTTGGGTGGAGGAGGTTTGTTGCTACCTCCCGCTGACCTTGATTCCAGTTGATTCCGAGATGGTTCATAGAGTCAGAAAGTCAAGATGGCTTGGATTCTTGAACAAAAAGATCAAAGAAGTCACTTTAATTGGGAATACACACTGACAGACCAATGTTCTCCTGGACCTTTCTGCTTTCTAATCCTAAAGTGACCTGGAGGCAAGGTAAACTAAAGCTCACACTGCCGATGTCTGCGTCTGTTGTCCACTTCCTAGGGAGAGTACCACTTTGCAGGTCCAAAGCTCATGACCAAGGGCTGGGATGCCCAGCCACTGGACTCAGGGAGGACCTCCAGAGTACCGGTTCTTAAAACGGTGTCTCCATCAACAGCAGCAGCAGCAGCAGCAGCCTCTGGTGACTTTAGACTTGAAAATTAAGAAGTTCTGCCTTGAACCTACTGGATCAGAAATGCTGGCACTGAGTTCAGCAGTCTTGTCTTCATTCTCTGAGGTGCTAAAGATGGAGACCGGAGCCCCACACAGGTGAGGCAAGTGCTCTTACCACGAACCCACATCCCCAGTCCACAATCTATATTTTAAGCACCACCCAGGTGGTTCTGAGACAGCTAAAGCTTGAGTCAATGGATTCCCAAGGATTATATACACCTACCGTAATCACTACCATTACCCAGGGTGGATACCATTATTACCTAGGAAGAATCAGAGCTTAAGGCATTCATTAAAGGGGCTTTAGAGAAAAGAGAAAAGTAACTCCAGATGGGGAATCAGGTATAAAAACCAGAATTTACTAGTTTATTTTCGTTTGCACTGACTGGTTTATCTTCTCAGCTGCCAGGGAATCCACATGTCGTATGGATGTAAAGCCCTCCACCTTACTTCTGGGTCTCTGCCTCTGCTTCTTGAATGTGACATCTTTCTAAGAATGAAAAATATGGAACCACAGTTCACAGGGGCACATCCATGAGATTACCATTCATCTGAACACAACAGATGTCTTCTCTAGGAGCAGTCAGTAGAGTCTGAGACACAAGAAGATTGATTCTGAGGGTCACTGAAGGATAGCGTCCATTTGGAAACATCTCAAAGAATCTGCTAACAGAGTCATGTGACAGAGCCTGTGAATCCCTGGAGGAAAAACAGGTGCAGCAGTAAAGAGTAAAACCTCCCAGCTCTGCAGCTGGGGAAATCCCCACTATCACCTGGGATCCCTGCTGAGTGGCCTGTCTGGCCCATCCAGGGGCAGAGGTCACAGCGGCCAGCTGGGTTAGGGTTCGTGCTTCCATTGACTTCACTTCTTGAGTTCTGAGTGGCCCACCTGATCACATGGAGGGCGCTCTCTCCCCATGTGCAGCAGACCTCAGCACTGTGGTGGTGGACACAGCCGATTCCTAGGACTTCTTAGTACTACTGAAATGCTTACAGAACCTCCAGACTTGGGAACCCCACCTCCCTAAAGGTAGAACCCCAGGAAACTCCAATTTCCAGTCTCTGCTGCAGGTAGAGCCATCACTATGATATCATGTGAGACTTGACTCAGAAGTGAGCAACTGGAAGATGGCACTGCATGTGGGATATGATGTGTTGGTGAGGATAGAAGCAAAATTTCCTGCTTCAGACACGGTGGTAAATGTGACATGTAGGGCCTGGCAAAAAACATACTGCTAGGCTGCTGTCAGCAATGGTGGCAGCCTTTTCGCCACCCGTTTTGTGGCAAACATATGGCTTCATATATCTTTCCTGGCTCCTCCAGCTTTCCAAGGATTCTCTGGGCTGCCTAACATGCTTCCTGAAAACTCCTTTTCTGATTTATCAGCCAAAAGCATCTCCTGTGGCTAGAAACTAAAATCTGACTGTACCCGGATGCTGTGACACATGCCTGTAACCTCAGTGCTGTGGAAGGCTCAACAAGAGGACAAAAGTTCAAGCCCAGGTGGGTGACTGAGCAACAACAAGACCTTGCCTCAAAGTAAAAATTTAAAAGGGGTGAGGATGTAGTGCAGTCTGAAGATGCTGGGTTCGATTTCCAGTGTCACACACTCGAAAATGTATGACTGGCATACAGTGGGCACTAGTGTGATGACCACCAGGACCCAGGGGAGTGAGAATCCCCTGGACTAAAGATCTGATTTTGAGAGCTCTGCCTTTCCAACAGGGACTCTGGCAGTCAGGGATGCACCTGTGGCTACCGGGAACAACATGAGCCCTGAAAGTGGGCTCTCAGGGCATGTGGTGCCACTCCCCTAGAGCAACATGAAAATCATGATGCATTACAGACTACAGGATGGACTGTAGGAAGAGCTGCTCCATTTCCAGCTACTCAAGACCTCCAAGTGTTTCTGACCCCATTCAAGGTGCATAAAGATCCTTCAGAAGCCAAGATTTTTTCCTCTGCTTTTCCAAGTCCTTCTTCAGCCCATTTGAACTCATTCTAATACATATCCCTTGGAATTCAAAAGACCCCAAACCCTTTCAAATGAGGCTACTCTGGAATGATCAGACTTGGGGGGCAGACCCCATTTCTTCTGCCTCTGCTCCTCCCCTGCCCTCCACTTTCACCAGTTTGCAGCCACCAAGAAAAATGATAAGACATTTATTGAGTCATCTACAGCGATTTGACATTCTGAAAATCCTGGACAAGGTGGTGAGCATAGCGTTAGTGGTGGCAGCAGGGGAAGTAATGGGGGGGGGGTATCTTTATGTTGGGAGATGAAGCCCAGGTGGCCCAGCTGCCACAAATGAGCTTGGAGCCACATCTGGATGCCAGGGGCTGCACCAACCACTCCAGCCTGACACAGCAAAGCCACGGACGACAGACACAGAAGACACACATGGTCAAGAGCAGACACATCCGGGACCTGGAGTTTGGGAAAGGAGCGGAAATGGGCATGCAGCCCATCTGAGGACTGTGCCAAGTCCTTGCAGGATTCCCAGGAGGGTGGCATGGCAATGCTCAGAGCACCCACGTGAAGTTCTCTCCATCTTGATCTTGAAAGCACACTGATGGAGACAGAGCTGAAGCTCTGTCCCCCGGAGCCCTCTGGCCAGTCCCTTACCCCCAGTGCTGGTGGATTTATAAGTGGAGTAACGGTTTATCCATAAGGGCTCAAAGCAGTAGGCAAATAGCAAACAGCACAGATTCCTTTCCAGGGGCCTTTGCCCAGGAATGAGCGCACATCTGTTCCCAAAGTTTGGTCATGAACTCCTGTTGGCATCATGTTGGTCTGCAGGACAGATGAAGCAATCATATTGTCCCTATTTCTCAGGTTGGGAGGCAGATGTCAGCAGAGGGTGAGCCTCAAGTCACAGAGGAGGTGGCAAAGCCCAGGCTAGAGAACAGGATTTCCCACACCATGCTGACTCCATTACTTCTCCTGCAGTCTGGAGTCCTGACAACTTTCCATGGCTGGGATCTGTCTTCTGCACTAGAAGTGCTAATCCTACAGATGCTGACCATCACATGCCTCCCTCTGGTCCTGTGAGGGGCTGTGCACCTACAAGTGGAGACATTTCCTCACCCAGAATCAGGCTGCGCTCTCCTGTGTTTCCTTATCAGCCCCAGGAGGAGGTCTGGCCTGAAGGTGTCTGCATTGTTCCCAGCTCCAGTACTTTGGGAATCTCCCCAGGGGTATGGGGCACAAGTGCAGAACAAGTGGCGGCAAAGCCAGGACAAGTCCAGGTCCCTGGCTCTGCTTGGGTTCCTCCATCCAGTTTCCAAGTTCCTTGGGCTCAAGTGGGAGTTGATGGTGACAAAGGACTCATTGCTTTCTCTCTGGAGTGGCCCTGAAGGAGGGGAGGGCACTCAAAGAATTAACAAGAGAGGCTCTTCCAGCCTTTCATTACAGAAGAGAGGGGCACACCAAGAGGCTGAGGCTTTGGTGAGTGACAGCAGACACCAGTGAAATTCCAGCTTTGGGCCCAGTGTGAGCTCCCTTATTCTAGTGCCCAGGAGCCCAGTTCAGAGGTCATGGGGCTAGAGAAGGCATTACAGCTGGCCACTGGGCATGTTGGGAGGCTCACCCCACTGCCCACGGAGAATACAGTCTGACCTCAAGTCTGGAATCATGAGGCTCAATATTGGGGCCATAGAGGGCTGAATATCCTAAGTTCCACTCTCCCGCCATCCATTGGCTCCCCAGAAGCCTCAGCTTCCATGACACACAACCCCACTTCTCTCAGGATGAGAGACCCTCTCCACACACAGCCTGCCAGGCCTACAGCTAGGCAGTCCTGACAGGGAACTACACCTCATCATCCCAAGGAGAGCTCAGTCTCCTGTGGGGGTGGCGTTCCTCCTTCAGGGTTGCATAGAACAAATGCCTATGGGCCTGGGGTCCTGGAATCTATTCCTCTCAGCATTAGCTTTATCAAGTGCTTCAAGTCCTCTTCACACACCAGTTTCTTACTCTTTCTTGGTCAAAGCAATTACTGCCATCTTTCCTGGGGCTCCTTCCCAGTGGGTGGCTGGTGTTTAGACAGAGAATTCTAGGGATGCACTAGGCTATATACAATTCATCTAGTCTTATTGCCCACTGTACAGGTTTGCAAACAGGGTCAGAGAAGGAAAGGTTTTTGCCCATCCTCGTGTTGTTCCCCTACAGCACTGTGGCCCTGAAATTGAGGGTCTCCTAGCACACTCAGAGTGCCTCACATACATCGGCTCATAAAACTGGCAAAGAGCATTCAGATACAAAAATAACCACCAGGAATCTGAACCGCTAGGAAGACTCAGGTCCAGGGCTCAGGAAACAGTTCAGGATGTGGGGCTCAGGGCAGATTCTGGTTTTGCTGCTTTGAAATAATATATCTATAGGGTCACAGTTTCTTCATCCACAGTGAAGCAGACTAATGGTAGGGTGATGGCAAACGAATGGGGTCCACAGCCTTGGGACTCCCTGGATCTAGGATACTGGTCATGGTGCTTGCCCCAGTCGGGCAGAGAGCAAAGAGTCACCACATCATGCCCAAAGCACCTATTCAAGCGTCCATGGCCTGAGCCTTCCCTCCAGGATGTCAGCTACTACTGTGGTGTCCAAACAGAGGAGAAAGGAGTTTGGTTTCTAAGAAAGGGAGAATGAACAGCATTCCTCACCTCACCTGCACACGCATATTCACTAAAACCTTAGACGATGCACACCGGAGCATGCTCCTATTTCCTGCCTTAGTTCTGGAGAGAAAGACTGCTGAGCTGCAGAGCCTGGAGAAGAGAGGCCACCTCACTTCACACACAGCATGTCCAGAGTCACAGTACTCTAAACCTGACCGAGGCAGACTCTAGGTCTCTGAATCCTAGGCAACAGCTCCTTCCAAGAAGCATCTCAAGGGCAAGGCTATCAGCAGATACTGGCGTACATAGGACAGGGGAGGGGATGAGGTCAGGTGCACAATGGAGAGGCCATTGCACACTTGTCACCAAAGTCACTATGTGTGCCTGGAAAGGAGCAGGGGGTGTTTTCTCCCTCTGTCTTTACCAAAGATGTATGGGCTTTCTTCACTGCTGAGGACACAGGACTCATCTCAGATCAGAGACAGGAGCCCTTTCTGCTCGCTCTGCAGGCCTCTCCCAAAAGGCCACTGTACATCCCGAGGGCTCCTTCCTCTTCATGAAACTGAGCAGAGCAAAGCCACCCTTCACCAAACTCCTCAAGCACTCACAACAGGATCATGAAGCAAGTCCTCAAACACAGACACAAACAAGACCCAGAACTTATGGAATGAGCTGGGGCCATAATCACAGTATTCTAAACTGCCTGACGCTTAGGCCATGGCTGTACACCCTGCAGCCGGGAGTCAGGACAGGCTTTGGGGAGTGGCCACCATGCCCATCAGTAGCCTCTGCTAATGAACATGGTGGCTGTGTCATTCCCTCAGGACATTCTAGCAGCCTGAGGGGATTCAATACCCAGGACACCCCAAGAAGTCTTTGCAGAGGTCTCTATGAAAGTTCAGAAGCTGAGTCCAGGCCTGAAGATCTGGCATCCGGGGCTCACTATCCATGAAGGTGGAGGGTGGGTGAAGCCCGAGCCTGGGACTTGGGCACCTGGAGGTGCAAGGTGCTTCAGGACTCACTGACCTCACAGGAAGGCAGCTGGTTCATTCTTATCATGGCTTTGACTTGAGGGGAAATGGGGGCGGGACTTAGAGACCCTCTCCACGGTAGGGATCACTGGGGAGCAGCCTCTCTGGGGCCTCACTGGGGACAGGAGGGGTGGAAGGGTAGCTACCAGATGAACCGTGCCCATCTTGAGTCAGGGGTAGAACATCTGAGACGGTGAGGGTCTTCTTCCATGGGTCTCCTAACTCTTCCATCTCCTTCCCACATTTCTGGCTCTCAGTTCTTCTTGGATCAAATGAAAAGCACCAGAACTTTCCCTGACCTCAGTCCCCACCCTACAACTGAAGTCTTAGACAGAAAAAGCCCTGGGGCTGTCCCATTGCCTGGCACCAGGAGCTAGGCCCCTGGACACTGATGCTGGCCAGGTTTGAGAAGGGCCCACATCCAAAGTTAGACATGAGGGGGCTGTCAGGGCAGGCCCTATCCAACTTCTCTCTAGCCTCAGCTCACAAGGCCTGGTGCCTGGGGCAGGCCATCACTGGGGCTGGCCAGGCAGTGGGGTGGAGCTGGGGTCTGGCTGGGGCGAGAGAAGCAAGGAGGGGACAGGCTTCCAAATTTGAGGGCTATTTACATTGTCAAATCAGGGACCATGGTGGGTGGGGCCGGTACCGAATGAGAGGGACAGTAAGCAGATTGTGCCTTGCCTCCTTCTCCCCCTTGGGGAGGAGTCAAGCTCCAGCCAGGGCCTGCCCAAGAGGAGGGAAGAGGCTCAAACATGCGCTGCAGACACCCGCCTGCAGCCCCAGCCTGTGAGGCAGGAGAGGACCAAAGCGGGTCTCAGGTGGCCAGATTGTCAGCTGGAAGGGTGGACATGCGAAGCTGGGAGCTGCTTTTGCTCAGGATGGAGAGCTGGGTGCCCCCATTCACCCCACTACTAGCCAGGGATGGGTGCCGGTGCTTGAAGTCCATGGTGAAGTAGCGGTTCACCTTCCAGCTCCGCCATTTCCGCTTGATCTCTGCCTGCACCTGCAGGGAACAGCTAGGCTGTGACCTCTGGGTGGATACCCCCTCCAATTATCAGCCCAACACAGCCCGAGGCCTTCCCGCTGCCTTGCCATTCCCCTTCCACACCTCCCTCCTCCCCAGCTGCCCTTTGGACAAGGTCTGTGGACAGGTGGCTCCCTGTTGTCTGTGCGCCACTCCGATGCTCCTCCGAGGCATCCCACTGGGATCCTCAACAAGCAGCTCCTCAGGGTGCCAGTGAGGACTCTTCCTCTCCCTGACCGCTAACAAACTGCACATAGAATCACCTGGGGTGGTTTAAACATTCCAGATGACCAGAACACACAAACAATTACATCCATGTATCTGAGTAAGACCCAGATGTCCACAGATAAAGCTTTCTATGTGATGCTAGTGTGTATCAGAGTTGAGATCCATGAGATAACTCTTCTCTGGGCAAATGCATCACCGTGTGGCTCTTAGCTTGGTAAGCGGGGGCCATACTGCGTGAATCTCAGTCCCCATCTGCTCCACAGCCAACCAGCCTGTGCAGTGCCCGACAGTACCTCTGGGAACGGTGCCCCAAGTGCTCTCTGCTTCTAGCTCCCACCTCCACTGCAGACTCTTGACGAGCTCCACCTACTCCCACCTCTCAGCTCACCCCGTGCCTCAGCCAGGGCCCTCTCTGCCTCTCACCATCTGCTCTACAACAATCCCAGTGTGCTGCTTGTGTCTTCAATGCAAAACAGAGAGGAGCCTACTGAGGTCACAGCCATGCAGCAAAATCTAAGTGTCACTGTGCTTGTCCACGCCCCAAGCCCGGGCCATCCACCTCGTCCCTGCTCCTGCCCCAGCACCTGGGTTTTAGGCTATGTTTTAGGCTCAACAGGCTAGAGAGGGAGCCCAAAACTACAGCTCTGGAAAGGAACATTATAGGAAGGCTCCAGGTCTCCCTGACATCTTTTTCATATCCTCAGTCTCTGCTTTGCCAGGGGACACATTTGGGCGAGGCACGCTGGCCTGCTGGTGGCAGCACTGAGCACTGGGCAGCCTCAGCCCAGAAACCCTGCCCGGGACACCTCCTGACCTGCAGGCACCCTGCCTGCCTCTCCCCCATCGTGCCACTTTCTGCTCCTTCAGGTGTAGCTATGGAGACAGCTCTCTCTCAGAGCTCTGGGAGCAGCAGACTGGTGCCACTGCTGGTAGGGTTCTGCACTGCAGGCTGGGCCTCAGCCGCACAGTAGGAGACAGCAGCGTCCGGTGCAGGCAGGCAGACAGGAGATTCTGGCTGACTGTCACCACAGATGTGTGACCAGCCCTCTCCTGTCAGTACTGGGAGCTCAGCACTGCCTTCCTCAGGGAAGTACTGCCCAGCAAGCCCCACCTCTAATGCGGAAGGGCTGAAGGGCCGCAGTCTTACCTCCCCGTTCAGGAAACAATAGAGAATAGCCACCACAAAGCCCTGGGGAGAAAGAAAAGGCAAACCTGAGCAGGCTGGCAAAGGACCCTCTGCATGCTGCATGCCTGGGCATGGGGGAAGGATGGGAGCTGGGGATGACACAGGAAGCACGAAAACACATGACCTGAATGGGGCACTGCTCAGGGATGTGTGGTGTGATGCGACACTGGTTGCTCTGCTCCATCAAGATAGGCACACCCCTGAAGCCGGTGGCTGGTGGGCCAGTCGCCAGCAATACACCCTGGCTTTGGGTACACCTTGGCCCAATTCTTCCCATTGTCAAAGGCCAGCTCTGTCTTATAGAAAGTCTTCTTTGATGCACTAGAAATGCCTCTGTGCCCTCTGACTAGTATACGCTCCCAAGGGCACAATGCCTCCAGGACAGAACAGCCTCACATCTTCCTTAGGTACCACCACCCTCTCCCTGCTCAGCCGCACACTCCTGTGCTCTACATGGAGTAAGCACTCGGCACAGGGTGGGAATTTAGCTGCGGCATGTGGACCCCAGAGTAAGTACATTTTCCTGAACTCTGCCAAGCCACTCCCCACAGAACCTGAGTGGAGCTATCTGTGTGTATGAGCGTGAGGAACACCAGCTGGAGGCCCAGGCAGCAAGCACCTTGACCAGCGCCCGGGTCTGGTTCTCGGGTCAGAACACTAGCTCTGAAACTCGCAGCCTCACCAGGCTAAGCACAGTAGCTTCCTGACCATCAGCTCCTCGCATGCTGATTTGAACAGGCCTCTTGGGGGAGGACACCGGGGAGCCAGGGTTCCCTTCAGGGCTGCTGCTCCCTCCATCTGTTCGCTTCACACTGCAATTCACTCACTCACTTGCAGCCCCACTCACTCACTCTTCTCTGCTCCTCTCAGCCCCTGGCTCCCTGGCATGTGCCCCTGCCCTGTCAGCTCTGCCAGGTCCTATGCTGGGAACCTGTGCCAGGGACCCCATCCCAGGTGAGACAGAACTCCAGCCCTCGGGAGGTGGGGGGTCTAGCAGGCTGAAGTCTGGATGTGGATGTGCAGGGTTCTCAAAGTCATCCCACCCTGGAGCCCCTGCCACTGGGAGCTGGCCCCTCAGATCACCCAAGGGAGCCTGGCTAGGAGCCCCAGACCCAGTGGCAGCCACACACTCTTGTCTCCTCAGGGTGGCAGTCAGAGCTCTCCCAGCATGCTTCTCTTCAGGTGCGCATTTCACAGGCAGAAAGAGCTAGGGTTTAAGATTCGAGAGCCATCAGCAGGTCAGAGGCCAGGCCCTGGCTCCTGGGAGCACTGCCCTGCACATGCCAGGCCTACCTGGAAGGAGCCCAGCCCCAGCTCAAACACGAGTCTCTCCCTCTTGCTGACGTTCTCTGGGGAGAAGGCGAACACTGTGTAGTGGATTCCGAACAATGGAATGAGCAGCAGTGTGGACCGGGCCAGCCTCCTGTTGGAAAAAGAGCAAGACATCTGCTGCGGTGACTCCTGGGGCTTGGGAGGAGGGCCTCCCAGCAGAGAAATCAGTCCTGGCCCTTGCACTCTCCAGACACCCTGACCTGACGGCAGACCTGCTCAGCACTCTCCACTGCGGATATGAGGGGTACCCTCCCAGTCTGCAAGGCTCCCACTCAGTGTCCTGCAGAGCTGCCAAAAATGTACAAGCAATTTGGAAGGACTCCTGTGTCATATGCTAAACCCTCAGGGAAGACAATCAGGGCAAAACTCGATATGATTCAGGAGGCTGGAAGCAAAGCAAACCTCCTCCTACCCCTAAGGAAACTCTATGTGCCCCAACAGAGCTGCCCCCGAGTGCCACAGCCACAGCAACTTTCTGAGTATGAGTCTAGCTGGGGCACCCATGGAGAGCAATGGGAGGTGCGGAGAGGGAGAGCACTGTGTGGGCCCTGAGAGACGCTGCGGAGGGATTCTAGGATGGACTTACTGGCACTGCACACAAACCTCCACGGGGCACAAGGAAGCTGTCACCAGGAAACCATGCCAAAAGAAGAAAAGGACATTGACCCTGGAATGGGACAAAAAGGGAACCCCACTCTCCTAGGCCACCAGGGGTGGGCCCTGTTCTGAGGGTACAGGGGCAGGGAAGTCTGTGCTGAGGGCATCCGGGGCCTGTGCCCTTTTGGTTGCTGCTCTGTAGGAAGGGTGGGGCCCCATCTTCTCCCACCCCAACATACTGGCTTCCACAGGCCTTTCACAGAATCCACCCCTCCCTGCTGTGCCCAGCTCGTCCAGAACATAAATGTCACCTTCTCCCAGCAGAGCTGGCTCTGCCAAAGTAGACAAAGGGTTTCAGTGCTGGATCGGGGCCATTACACCGGATGTCCCTCCCTTTCCCTGAACCTGGGCTTTCCGGGAGAGAATGTTCTACACAATGAGAGGGCTCCAGATTTCTAGAAAAACCAAACTCACAGATGCTGTGTGAGGCCTTGACATCCTAACGTCTGTAAGAGAGGATGAGGCAAGAGGGAGGAGATGGGAGGAAGACAAGGAGCAGGAGTAGGAGCCTGGAGAGACTTCAGCAGGAGGAAGCTCCACCCAGAAAGGAGCAGGCCTGGTTCATAGGGTGCACCACTCTCCCTTGCTCCCTACTCACCCCTGTGCAAGCTCCGGGGTCCCTGGGCTAGAGCAGGACCAAGGGGAGCTGAGCAAGCCCCTCCTCTGGGCCTATGTGGGCCATCCTTTCAGCTTTCCTCTGATCCATTTCTGACTATGGCCCCTCAGTGCTGGGCAACCCCTTGCCTATCTCTGTCTGCCTGGGCCCGCTGATGTCTGTGTGCCCAGGGCCTGGCAACAGAAGGCATCAGGGAGTACTTTAGAGGGCAGAGGGAACAAAGTGACCAACATCAAGCTCGCCATGCTGTGTGGGGCTCTGCCACAGTCTTGCCTGGGGACTGACTTTAACACACACTGGACAGGTTCCCCTGGGAACCCAGGGAACCCGCCTTCCCTTACTGCCTCACCTCCCACAAATGGACTATCTCTGGATATTTTCCTTAAAGTCCAAAAGGGGTCCTGGAAATCAAGGCGCCAAACCTTTCCAGTTTCCACAGTGGTGTCTGGCAGATCAGGTTGAGAGTGTAAGAAACAGTGACCTCTCAGGCACAAGCTCAGGACCCTGCCAGCTACAGGATAATGTGGTGACCACAAGGATCGTGTCCTGGGGCGCCACCCCTCCCAGCAGTCCTGCAGCAACCCTGGCATGATTAGGTACTTCAGGTGGAGACTCAGGAACCCAGGGTCCACTTTGGCAGACAGGACGGGGGACAGATAGGGACAGCTCAGGAGCCCCAGGGTTTGGAACCTGCGCAGTTCTGAGCTGTGCACTCGTGGCATGGGAGCCTAAGGTGGGAGCCTCACTCCACCACCTGATCAGCCTAGACAGATGGCAATGCCAGGCCGAGTCCTTTGTCCTCATTCCCCAAGGCCCATCCCAGCGAAGAAGAGCCCTGAAATGCCAGGAAGAGCTTCCAATTCCCACAGGTCCCAGTGGGCTGCCTGGGAGGCAGTTCCCCTTGTGACCCGGAGTTCTGGTCAGATACGCCTCAGGGTGTGGTGCTAAGGACTCTCTGGGTTCAAATCTGTGCCCTTCCATTTACATGGACTGGAGGGAGTCACTTTGCCTCTCTGTGCTTCAGTTTTCTCATCTGTAAAATGGAAGCAATACAAGGACCCGACTCACAGGGTCCCTGCGGCTGTCAGCTCACACATACAGTGTTCTGCACATGGAAGGAGGTCACCTGCCCCATGCAGGGGACAGATTCTATGAACCAAAGTCTATGTTTTCAGAAATAATTTCACAGTTGCGGAGATCAAAGCCCAGAGAAGTCAGGGATTTGGAGGAAGTGCACACTGGGCAGCGCTGCCAGAGGCTGCACAGCGGCTTCCTTGGCACACAGCAAGGCCCAGGATGCACCCGCAATGAGTGCAGCTCCTTGCGCTCACCCTCCCACCCCAGGGCCAACAGGCTGCAAAGAACTCACAAGACACTGGGACCTCAGCATGCAACAGCGCGGGGCAGGGGCAGGCTGGGAGGCACAGGTTGGCACTCCACGCACTCCAGCCCGGCAGGACACAAGCTTGAGCCAGTGGCGGCAGTGGCAAGAGCATGCGTCTCCCTCCCCTCTGGGACACCCGGCCACAGCCACGGCCACGCACACTTACAGAGTAATGGTGGACAGTTCTGACATCTTGCAAGAGTGCTGCTGAGCCCGCTGTGGCTTGCAGTAGCATTTCTGCACGCAGCTGCTGGGTGTGACAAGATTAGCACTTCTGTCAGCTGGGGGCATCGGGCAAGGAAGAAACTGAGGGTGGGCAGAGGAGTGAGGAGAGGGGAGGCAGGGCCAGGGCAGTCATGTGGAGGAAGAGGAAGATGAGGGCTAAGACAAGGGTAGCTCTGAACAAAAAGATCACACTTAGACGTGCACAAGTGTGTGCGTGGTCGCACACACACACAGAAGCACTTGCACAGGGACCATTGGCAGGTGAGTGAATTTGGAACACAGTGTATGTGTGGAAGGTGGGCTGGAGCAAGGTGCTCAGGCCATCTCTAGAGTCAGCCCCAAGCTCAGGAGCCAGACTCACTGGGGGTCTCTCGGTGACACGAACAGCTGGAAACTCACTCTACGGCCCTCACATACAGCCTTGTGTGTCAGCATTCTGGGCTTGGTTGTCAGGGTCCCTTAGCTGTTCCCTGCTTGTCCCTTCCCCCTCTCTTCCCTCCCCGGTGCCCTTCTCAGTGTGTCAGTGCACACAGGGGATCAGAGCTAACCTGGGCTGAATGCACCATTAAGTAGCCTAGACCTGCAGGACTTGCTACAATAGCCAAAACCCACATGTGGCTATTTGAATTCAAATTAAATTCTGCTTCCTCAGTTGCTCTACTATATCCTAGGGGCTCACAGCTGCATGCAGCTGTCAGTGACCACAATGGATATAGGGACACAGGCATGTGCATCCTGCGGGCACATCCACTGCACAGGGCTGGGCTTGTCTGGATCAAAGCTCAAGGACAGGAGTTGAGGATGAGAGAACACTGCTTGGGCTGCCGTGCAGAAACTGCCACATTAAGGAGGTGACCCTGCAGCAAGTCTAGCTCCACATCCTGCTGGGCATGGAGAGGCCTGCCCTAATCTAACACAAACGTCAGGCTGGCTCCCTCTCTACAGGCCCATAGGGTTTCTGCTCTTGCTGGACATCTTCCGGGCATGGGTAAGAGCTGCAGCACCTCAGGCTGCAGGAGTTACTCTTTCACCAGCCCTCCTCAGCCACTTAACCATGGCTGGGGATGGAGACCTCTGGAGCTGATCGTACATCAGTGAAGGCAGACATGCAAGGAAGAGTAGACCCTCCGCATCCTGGGCAGCGTCTGTCCCCCTCCAGCTTGTGGTTCTCATTTAATCAAAGGCTTCTTTCCATTCACAGGGCCCGTGAGGCAAGCGCTATGGGCCAACTTTGCAAAAGAGGCACGTAAGCGGTGGTCTGAAGCTTGGCTATGCAGAGCAGCCCCAGAGTGGCAGCAGCAGCAGGACTACCCGAGCACCGCTTAGAAACGTAGGCTCTAAGTCAGGCATGGTGGTTGCGCCAGTAATCCTGGCACTTTGAGAAGCTCAGATAGGAGGATCATAAGTTCGAGCCCAACCTAGGGCTCGAATTTAGTAACTTATATGACAAGACTCTGTCCCAAAATAAAAAATAATAGAAAAAAAATTAAAAGGGTGGAGATGTAACTCAGTGTAAAGGCCCTGGGTTCAATGCCCAACACTGAGAAAAAAAAAGTCTCAGTGGCAACCCACCTGCCACCTGCTCAGAATCTGAATTTTAACAAGAACCTTGAAGGAATGCACATGCCAGCCAACGTTTGAGAAGCTGGGGAGACATAAACATGCCAGAGAGCTTTTCACGTGCCCTCAGTAAATGTCAGAGCTCTTTTTTACAGGTATGAAGAGAAAGACAGGTGCAAATAAGAACTTTTCCTTTAGTTAGTTAAAAGAATGTAAGATATAGACAGAGATGGCAGCTCCTCTACGCTTCCCATCTATTATTTCCCCTGGGAAAATTGAAAGGTGGCCTCTTCCCTCCTATGGCCAGTGACCCTTCCACTTTAGTTGGGGTCAGCCACAAGAACCAGGCCAGGAGCCCGAGAGGCTACCTACACGGTGTGCTGCCGCCCTCATCCTGAAGATGAACCTTCAGCTGTGCCCTGGCACCTCTGTATCTTCAGTTCCAAAGCTGTCCCCTATCTTCCTGGGCCCAAGATATTTCCACAGAAAGCACAGGCTCCTCTGATAGTTTGAAAGATATCTGGAAAGTTTTCCACAGACTGTTCAGTGACAAGACCGAGGGATGTGTGGCTCTGACACAGGGAAGGCCAGTGAGAGAGGAAAGGGGAAGACGACACCCAGAGGGCTCTCAGGGGAGAGGGGGACAGGGCCTGTTCCCCAAATGCTGCCCTCCCCCAGACCTTCTGTATCTGTGCAAAAGGATGCACTGAAAAGAAATAGAACAGAACTATGGCAACACAGCCAGAGCCAGGGGCGTGAGAAAGAGAGAGGCAGGGGAATCTCAGGACAATTAGCAGACAGGGAAGAGGGATTTTGTCATGAGGAGGAGAAGCACTTCAGCAGACAGCTGAGCCCATTCAGAGTGGGCACAAATGGAGAATAAGAAACTCAAGCAAGGGTGCTGGGTGGGGCTGTTGCGAGGTGGCCGCCACCAGAACCAGAAGGCAGGAGACCTTGGTGGCAGGCACAGTGCCCACCCCACTGGTGAGCCTGTCCCAAGAGCCTTGCTTTCCAGCTTGGCTTTGCAATGAGTTTCCAGGAAGGTCAAAGCCATTCCCTGAACCTGACACGCATATCTACCTTTACCAGTCTGGGATCCAGAACACACTGTGGCTTCACACCCATGTGCACGCTAGCTGGGGCATGGCCCTAGGATACACCCAGCAGTATCATAGACTGAGACACCTGCACAGAACCCTTCGTAGGCAGCATCCCATCTTCCTCACCTCTGTGACTCCTGGGATCAGAACAATGTTGGGCCTTTGGTGTCTCACGGGATATATGGGTCAGGGCTAAATCTATGCCACCAGGTCCCTCCTGATGCTGAGATACTATGCACCTTAGAGCCCCTCCTGGTCCCCCAAGAAGCACCCCCTAAACACCGCCAACCCAGCAGAGTCATGGCTAGACAGATCTTGAGAATTTCCCAGACACTATTCCCTCTCTTCTACCACAAGGAGAGGATGAACTAGCTCTCTGTGACTTCTGCCAATCTGGAACAGTTCCAGCTGGGGGGCTGGCACCCAAGCTCAAGGCTTTCTTTGACCACTGACGTGCTGAGTGATCTTAGGTGTTGTTCTCCTCTGAGCCTCAGTTTCCCCATATCAAAAATAACAATTCCCTGCTGCCAATTCTTAACAGCAACAGCAAGGATGGGATGATCCCAGGTGTATGTGGGGGGGCGGGGGGTGCTCTGAAGTAGAAGACAGAGCACCCACCCCCGGAAACTGGAAGCCTTTGGCTGTGGGTGAAGCCACCGAGCCTGAGCTTCCTGGTGGCACTGCTGCCTTGCACAGTGGTGTGGACTGTGGGAGATGTGAACTGTCCTCTCTAAGGAAATCTAGACCCGGGATGCAGCTGGGGTTCTCCCCCACCTCCACGTCCAAGTGGCTTCCAATGCTCATCTTCTGTAAGGGACGATGAGCAAATGGAGCCAGGTCACCTTGGAACAGGAGTGGAGCTTCTCTCTGTATAAGGAGTGTCTGTCCCAGAAACCTTAGCCTTCCCCTTCTGGAGCACACAGTGATAAACGTGGACCCACACCAAAGGCAGGCTAATCCTGCCCTGCCCCAGCTGAATATTCAGCCCAGTCTCCTGCCCAAGATCAAGTCAGCTCTGGGCGCGTGCTAAGGCCCAGCACAGTAACTGGCTCTATCTCTGGCTGCGACCTGAGCCCTAAGCTTCGCCACTCATTCTACCAGGGGCCCCAGGGTGGAGCCAGGGTAGCTCAGGACCATGCACCCTGCAGGGCTCACACTCCAATTCCTTCCGAGGCTGGGTAGGGTACAACATCTTGATCTACGGAGGACAAACCCTTATCATCTGAGCATCTGGAACCAACCTACAGGAAAGAGAGTGAATGCTGGTCTGAGGGCACAGGCAGGGGGTCCTCTCGGGCTTTCTTGGGGACTCGCGGGTTTAAATTTTTTCTGGAAACAGAGGAAAAAATCAGAGAGCTGTTGTGGGCAGAACTGAAGGAGCTTTGCAGCCCAACACATAAGCCCAGGGGACCCAGGTACAGCCCTGGACCCTCCCTTTCCCCGTGCCCTGCCTCTGCCACCGGCCCCTCCTCCCCATGCAGAAGCCTCCCGCTCAGAGCCAGCTCCTCTTCCAAGCCCTGCAGACCGGGGACACTGTCACACAGCGTTGAGCACACCAGGGGCCTCTTCTTTTAGGAAGCCTTAGTTTATAGCTTTTGACAGCAATGTTGTGCAGCCAGCCTTGGAGAGCAGGGCCTGTCTGGGCTGCAGCAGCGGACTCGCTCCCACCGGATGTGTGGTGTGTCACTGGCAGCTAGTTCCCTGAGATAAAGTGGATGAATTCTGTGTAACAGCTGCTACCTGCCAGAGGCACCTGGGATTCACACACACTAAACGTGCACAGACCAAGTTGTGAGTGTTTTCACTGAGCCGCCTCTCTCAGCAACATTGTCACTGCGATTATCACCATGTCCACCCACAGGGTCTCCTGTGGCCCTGGGAAACTCAAACATGTGGCTCAACTCAGCAGGATCAAGCTGAGTCTTTGTCCAGCTCAACCTTCCTACCTGCCTTGCAGGCTGCATCCACCCAAGTTTTTAACCTTCAGAAGCTTTGTGCCTCAAAGCTAGCAAGATTTTGGAGAAACAGTTCATCTTTTCTTTAAAAAGAGGGTTTACAGAGACTGTACAGAGATGTTGAAGATGTTTTCACTTTCTTGAAACAAATAAACTACTTGATGCTTTATATGTCCTGGATTCACACTGAAATGTGCAAACCATGTATGATTCGTAAGGTTCTCATTGATACTTTAGGGAGATGTGATGGGACTCCGTGATTCCTAACATGTGGACAGCGCAAAAGCAGACCCCGCTCCTCTCTATCAGACCCTGGGGAGTTCTTGCTGCCGGGGGCAGGCTGGCTAGCTGGCCAAGCGTGATCAGGGCCTAGCAGGGTGTGCGTAATCAGGCTGAGACTGAGTGTGAGCCCGTGCCCATGGCCACGCACAGGCAGAAGGAAGGGAAGCTGGGAGGACCCATCCAAAAGAAGAGGCCTCGGGACTCTCAAAAGAATCAGATCCTGACAGGAAGGGGAGGAAACGGAGGCTGCTGGAGCTCAAGTGATGCCATGGCTGACTTTGCTGTCTACCAGCTCCAAGAACATGGGTGCTGTCAGTGAAAAAGGCAATGTGAAATCAAGCAGGAGCAACTATGGCCAGGCTTTAGTCATGGTTGCCATCACTGGGCAGGGAAGTTGGGGAGCGGTAGAGTACTATTCTGTGAGTTTGGAGATGAAGACAGGAATGATCCCAAGACAGGTTAGGTGGTAGTAGAGGGCTGGCCCCATCAGTGCCCTTATAACTTATTTCAAACAATTTTATACTACATAGAAGATACAAAGGTTGCTTACAACATACAAAAATATGGAAAAAAAGACAATACAAATGGATAACCAAGAAAGTGTCTTCCTAGGTAATGTCATCATTGCAGAGCCAGTGAAAAGATAGCAAATAGACAGGCTCTGGGCGAATATTCCCCAGAGAAAGGGGAAGATACTCAGGCTATGCAGACAGGGAAAGAGCAAGCTCTAACTCCCGCGAGAAGCCCCAAGAGCCTTCAGCAAGGCTCTGGACTTGGTATCTGATCAGTAGCTCTAGCCCTCTCTCTTGGAGAACAGTGGAGGGACTCCAGAAGCTCTGTGCTGGGATCCCACCACTGTCCCACTCATTCCTTGGGCAACGAGCCATCAAGACTGTGAGACCCAGACCAGAGCCTCTGATGAAGACAGGAGCAAGCACCCAATGATGACCAAGCACGGCTCCTTCTAACTTGTTAACTTGAATCCAGGAAGCTGCACATATGGCTCCTGCTGTCCCCCTCTACCAACCACAATGGAACACGAGGCTTTCTCATCAGCAACAGAAACTTCCTCATACCCCATGGCCCAACTGATCATGCTCCTATTCATAAGCTAAGCTCCCCACCCCTGCAGGTGTGATAGGGGAGAATCTGTCTGATTTCAGGTGGGGCAAGACAAGTCAAGGAGAGGGTTGAAGAGAGCCAGCAGGATGCAGTCTTAGCACCATGACTACAAAAGATTCCTGAGCAACCAAATGGCCATGAAAATGGAGAAGGTCTTGCATTCCACAGTAAGAGGCTGCTGTTGAACCCAATAAGCACAAGCAAAACAGATGCTTCTATGTTGAGAAAAGAGACTGCTGAGGACGTAGTATCACATAGATACAGAGCTAGAGCTGTCCTAAAGAAAGGTAGAAGACAGAAGGAATCCCCCTTTTAATACTCAGTCCAGGAAAAATGTCTTGCTGTGTCACCAGTAGGCACTGAGCAAGTTTTCCACCTTGGCCTGGAGCATCGGCCTACCCGGTGGCGCTAACAGGCTTCCCACAGAAGCAGGATCCCCAAGGAAATCCAAACTCTAAACAACGGGGACCCTAATGACCCTAGGCAGTATGGTGTTTCCTAACTTGGCTTTCCCAGTGTCATACAGACCGGATCTGTCTCTTTCCCCTTCCGTGTAATGACATGCATGCAGATCAAGTGCTCCTGAATGGCTAAAGCCTGGAGGGAAACTATATTTTAAAATATGTCTGTCTAGATCTTAAAGACACTCTAATGAGGAAGGACTCTTGCAAACGGCCATGCTAGGTCACCCTGTCAGCAAAGCCCAAGCCTCTCCTGCTTGTGAGCCAAGCGCAGGCCCATGTGGCTTTCAGCAATGGCTGTGGGTGCCACATGATGGTACTTACAAGTAGATGCTGGACTCGTTGCCTCCCATGTCTGGAGACTGAAGTTTCTGCACAAGGATGACAATGATGCCAATGAAAAGCACGAAGTTAACCTGAGAAGCAAAGGAAACATAGAAAAAGTTCACCAAAGGCAAAGACTTGACATAGCCAGGCCTCTGTACAGGCTGCGATGCCCCTGGCAGGACCTGCTCACTGTACAGATTCGAAATCACATCTAGATTTCTAGTTCACAAAGGCAGCAGAAGAACTAGCTTTAGGGCATCTCCCCAGCCTCCCACAGCATCACTGCAAGGAAAGGGTACAAAGCACGCAATTCCCCAGAAGTGCCAGGACACAGGAAGGCATGAGTGATGCGTGAAAACGAACAACTTCTGGAAGAGAAAGAGAAAGCAGGATCCAGGTGACGGGAACACTTCCGCTGGAAAGACAGAGGAGGTGACTGCAGAGGTGAGAGCTGTTCTCTGGAGAAACTCCAAGTTCAGAGTCAGGGGACGCCAGCACACTGCTAATTACAGCTTGGCCTGGGAACAGCAAGAGCAGCATCTGCCTTTAAATAAAGATCAGTGACAAGGGCTTTCCAAGCAGTGAGAAAGCAGGAGGAAGGAAAGCAAATAAACAGAAACAGGCACAGCCAGAGAGCTGCTGGGGATGTCTTCAGGATGTCACCAAAGTAGCCCGTGGAGGGAAATAACGAAGAGTCAAAAACCAAAAACCAATCCACTGAAAAGAATACTTGTTGTGCCGGGGAGATGGCTCAGTGGAATAAGTGCTTCCCTGGCGAGCGCAAGGGCCTGAGTTCAACCCCCAGTTCTGCCAAATAAGAATACTCGTTGAAAAACAATTAAACATTCAAATCAAAAGTTAGCGGGGGAAATGCCACAAATCTCACTTATACAAGAAGGAAATTAATGGAGGACAAAAAAAAAAATCTTAAGAGGAATTGGAAAAATAGGAGATGTGCTCAATAAAAACAAAGACTGATTTTCATTTTTATTTTGTTTTTGCAGATCAGTTAGAATGATTAAGCACACTCCTCACTGTCCATCTTGCTCTCTGCTGCAGGTCTGGTGTCTAACCAGGGCCTGGAATCAGCACAGAAAATACTGCTAACTCCAAGTGCTAGTCAGCCCAGAAGAAGAAAACACGATTAAGCAAATTTAGGGATGAAAAAGTAGACACCAGGTGGACAAATCATCCCAAACCATGAGTAAGCTCCAGGCAAAATGGTGAAATAAAAATGAACTAAAACAACTACAGGACAGAGAGGGAAAAAAATCTGAATAGTAACCTCAGAAGAAATTTAAAAAGTAGGCAAAGATATAAATTAGTTAAAAAGCACCAGGTCCAGATAATTTTATGGATGTCTAAGGAAGATGTAATTTGCATGTTACTTAATTGATTCAAAGCAAATAAAAGGGAATTAACTTAGATCACCCATGAGACTAACAAAATCTTGCTCCAAAACCCAGACAAAGACAGAAAATGCACACAGACACCCAGCTCATAAGACCACAGAATTCATGAACAGCAACACAAAAGCTTTAAACAAAATATTAACACTGAATTTAGCAGTGCACTAAGGAGTGAACAGAGCAGCGCCACAAAGATTTAATTCTACAAATGCAAACACAAAACCTACTACTATCTATTCAAATATATTAAAACAATAAGCTCCCATCATTCCCCATAAGACTGCCAACTGTTAGATAACTGAAACATCAAACATCAACAGAGCCACTGGAAATACTGGAAACGAACACTCTCGTATTTTGCTTATTAAGGGCAGTTTTCTAGCCACAAAAATGCCAAATGCACGCACTCTTTTTCCCAGGATCTCCTTCCCCCTTCTGGAGATTTATTCTAAAAACATATTCATACATGCTCAAGCTAGGCACAAATATATTCCTTGTAGTGTTGTTTATAATGAAATAAAAGTGGAATGCTACATCCATTACTGAAGAAAGGTATGATCATTCCAATAACTGTCTCCAAAATATAACTGATAAAATTCAACACCCGTACTTGATTTTAAAAAGCTACTTTTGATTTTTTTCAAGCCAGGAAGAAGTTTCCCAGTCCAGTGCAAACCACTGCCTGGAGCTAGAGAAAACAGCATCCTTGACAAAAGCAAGGAAGAGACAAGAACTGAAAAGAAAGGGCAAAAGCTATTTTCATTTGAAGGTTACATAATTTTCTACCTAGAAATCCATGGAAATTGGTGAAAAGGGTTACAAACTGCTAAGAGAGTTCAGAAATGTAACTAGGCAAAAGAATACACAAAAGCCAATAGCATTCCAAAACAACATCATAACTTATACATAATGGTATGACTTCTAGACCCAATAAAAGCCCAAACGGAATAACACATCATTATAGCAAGAATAAAGATGAACCCTGAAAGAGTTCACTAAAATGGCTCCACGAGAGCCTGAGTAAGTACAGAATCATGCCATACCCTTGGAAAGGAAGACTCAATCTTTTAAGAAAATCAGTTCCCCAAAGTAGCCTATAAGTTCCATGCAATTTCTACACAGATCTCAACCAGATGTTTAAAAAATTGGCAACTTGATGAGGGTATTCAAAATCCACTGGAAGAATACATATGCAAGAAACTTTTATGAGAAAAAAAAGAGAAGAGAAATTTGCATATCAGATATCAAATGACGCTACTAGGTTGCCACAATGCACCATCTGCCAGGGGAATAGATAAATAGATTAATAACATAAAAGTGAAAGTCTGAAACTAAATGCAAGTACACTGAGTGTTTATAATAAAATAACATTTCAGCATAATGGAGACAGGATTCAATAAAACGGACTGAAAATATGGAATGTACGCCCTTGAAAAATAAAATTAGATAAAATTAATTATCATTTCAGGCCAGACCAAAAAAATATTATTAGCCAGATGAAAGGTGTACATATAATAATCTAATGTACAAGTAGCATAAAATAATTAAGAACGGTTTTACATTTTAGGTGGGAAAGGCCTCCTCCAAAAATAAGAAACGAGGCGCAGAATTCATAAAGACAAGAGCTGGTGGTTATGCTGTCTGGGCCAATGTGACATGCACAGCAGACACAGTGTCACTGTCCCCAGATAGTAAGAAAGTCAAATTGCTAACAACTGGGCAGAAGAAATAGACAAGAGTATCCAGAATTAAAATCAATGATCAATAAATGTGCTGGACACACTGCTCCGTTGCACTCACACCTCGGAGAAAGGAGCTGCGACCCCGTGAGCAGGAAGGTGCACTGCTTAAACGATGGGTACTCCAAGTGCAGCCCATGAGGCAGGAAAACAGTCGGCCCTTCCAGGGGAAGTAGGAATCCCCGAAGGGTGTTTGCAGCGCCATATGGCATCTGAAAACCTAAACATACACCCTTCTGACCCAGTTCTACCTCTACAAAAAGATTTCCAAATGCTTAAAATTGTGTACAAGACAATTCTTAGGGGTACCTTTTCCACACTCAACCATGGGGGAAGAGCTAAATAATTTCATCTACTTGTTCCATAACGGAATGCAGCCACAGCAAGGAAGCTAGTGTGTGCGGGGCCCTTCTACCCTCTCCTGGGTGTCCTCAGGCCAGGCCCATCTCTTCCCTTCCTCTTTGCCCAAAGGACACTCACCATTATGGAGCCAACCACAGGCCCTTTGATCACCCACCACAGAGCCGTACTGTCGTTCATTTCCCAGCAGCTGAAAGACAGGCAGAAAGAAGAGAGATCACATCCAAGGGACACCTGTAGGACACTGTCCCAGCCAGCTGAGAGCCGGTCACCTTCTCCCTTTGCAGCTCCTGAGAAGGAGTTAGATGAAAGGAGAGCTCTCTGGTGCCTGGAGAAGCCAGGCTTTGGTTATAAAAATGGGGTCACTCTTGAGCACCTGGGAAAGGGCCATGTATCTCCCTCAGATCCAGGGCTCTCGGGGTACAAAACCACCCTCAGCATACTTTCACCCCTCTGAAAAAAGAAAATAGACTCAGAGCCAGGCCCAGAAACACTGAGGGTTCAGAAACCTTGCAAGCTGTCTTGTGTCTCGGGGGTAGAGACAGCTGACAGGCACAGGGTCAGGGCTCAGTGGCACCCAGGGCCGGGAGGGTTGTTCAGTGGAGTTCATGTGAGAACAGGCAGCCCCTGAGAAGCCTCCTGTTAGACTTCACTCTGTGCTTGAGCTGCGCTTCATGGGCATGTACTCACCCTGAGTCATCAAAGTAGAGCCTCAACACAGCCCACACCATCACACACACAGTTGGGGTCCCTGAAAGAGGCAGAAAAGGAGGCTGATGATAAGAGAAGAAAAATGTGTCCCCTTCCTGGGGAACTTTACTGTTCCTCACACCCTGGCTGTCTGGGATTCTTCATTTCCCTCAGAACCAGAGCTTGGGAAGGAGGTCCTAGGCTTAACTTCTCCCTTAGATGGTGGGCTCCCCACAGGCAGGAAGGGCAAGAAAGGGCCCAAGAAAGAGCAGTTGACCATCCACCTAGGACAGTGCTCCCTCCTCACTGCCACTCCTGCAAAGTCACCACCCAGGACATGCCTGACGATGAGGCCTGAGCCAACCACGCACAGCCACAGACCTACCCCAGCCAATAATGATGTACCAGTAGAAGTATCTCCTCTCAGGGAAGAAGGTCTCCACCAGCAGTGTGAAGAGGTACAGGCCTTCGATAAACAGCCAGAAGTAGTTGGACACGACACAGTAGTGAAAGAAAACCATGACGGCCTTGCACTCCACCTACAGGGAGGCCCATGGCCAGGAAGTTTCAACTTCTCTGGCCCCCAGAGAAGGCCCCAAATCCAGCCCCACAAGACCAGGCAGTGAATCCTGAGGGCCTTCACTGCTGGCAAGCTTGGACTCAGATATCCCAAGGAGCCAAGGGAGAGGACATTCCTGGACAGAGAAGTTGACAGCAGTGCCCGCTTGTGGCTGTGGGTCCACACTGCCCAGAGAGGCAAAGGCATGCAGGGAAAGGACTGTGGACAGTACAGGGCCACTAAGCTGGTCCTTGCCTTCCTCTTGCTCCTCCTTGTTCTCTCAGGGAAGGGAAAGAAAGAAGCTGTAAGAGGGCTCGTAGGAGGCTCCATGTAAAATGAGGGTGTGGAAATCTCTCCAGCCATGGGGATACAGAGCCAGACCCTGAAAATCTCTTTTCACAGAAGCCCTCCCTCCACACACACTGTCCTGGTCAGGGTCTGGACTCTAGGTTCTCGTTCCTGTCTCACTCCACCAAAGCACAGTTTCCCTGCCTACATGTTAACTCCTCCAAACTGAGGTCTGAAGAGACTATGCCCCTCGTGGGCTTAAGCATAGCTGGTTAAATGACCAAGAGCCCCGAAGCCCTCTCTGAACCTGTCTCCTCCTCAGTCAAGCAGGATCCGGCATTTTCACCTGACCTCCCTCAATTGCTTTAGCAGCTACCAGGCCCAGGCCAGGGGTCTTCATACACTCTGGCTATTGGAAGTGATGACACACACTGGCTACTAGAAATTGTATGGCAGTTCCAGCCAATTCCAGGGGTGGAGCCACTGCCTTCACCAGCACACACACACACTTCCCTGTGAAGTGTCAGATAAGCATGGGTGGGGTGATGCTGGACTAGTGGGTGGGGTCCCCCAGGGCTCACTCACAGTAGAGATGAAGCAGTGGTTGTTATCCTGCTCGGCGTACAGGATCCAGTCTTTGATGAAGACAGAGATGGCCCTCAGCATGAAGGACACGAAGAGGTTCATGTGGATGAAGTTGCGGGTACAGTGCAGCTTCCTACGTGAGCAGGTTGGGGACCAGGAAGCCTTGAACCCTACAGCGCTCATGCCCTCCATGCTGGGCTGCTCTGGGCCGTCTCACTGGCTTTGTCTCAATGGAGTCCTGCCCAGGCCATCCCTTCTCCCCTCCATCTGACCCTCACAGACTTCCAGGCCCCTGCATCTGGCTCCTACTCCACATGCACACATACCTCCTGTGTTCTCTCTCTACCTGGACCAGCAACATAAAAACAAGAAAGGTAGGTCTCCTGCCCCGCTGCTGCCAACTGGGTGGCCCTGGACAAGCCAGGTGAGCTCTCCAGGGACAAGTGCCCATCGGCTGTGCCCCAGGTGGCTGAATGCTTTCCAAGTGACTTTCCAGAGCTGATAATACTCAGGGAGGGGCTGGGGCAACGATGCTGCAGTGAGCTGTACTAGTGCGGAGGCTGAGGCTATCTCACCGGAAGCGGCACAGGATGACCATCGCGGTGGTGAGGGTGACCAAGGAGGTGCTGTAGCCGACAGTGTAGAGGGCCTTCACTGACAAGTAGTAATAGTCCTGGAGCAGGGCACAGAGCAGAGGATGGTGGGCTCTCCAGGAGGCCTGCCACCTCCCCCTGGGACCTGAGCTCAGTCTTTCAGGCAGGGCTGCCCTACTGAGTCTAGCTCCTCCTCCCGTCTTCCAGTGCTCTCACCTCCCACTGCCCTCCCACTCCTGACCAAGTGGCTCACACGCTTCTGTACTCCCACTCTGCATATGCTCAACAAATGTCTGTTGAAGGAATAGCACAGACCATTCAGAACAGAAAGCAGCCTCAGCCTGGAGAAGGGTCCAGGAAGCCGCTGGTAGGTGCAGTCCTCCCTCCCTTTCTGGGTCATAGGAAAGCCATCATCCTAGAAGTGGCAGCCAGGGTCAGCCTGAGGCAGTGGGTGAGCATCTCACCTTTGTGTGCACAGGTTTGTACACCTGGTACCTGGAAGTGCTGCCTAGATCCTGAGTTCCTCAGCCCTGCCATCAGCCCAGGGAGTGAGGGGCACTCACCTGATCCTCAGGCTCAGTTTCATTCTCATAAAATCCGCATGCATCAAAGTAATGAGGGAAGGGCTCAGACCAGCCTTCTTCTGTGCAGTTCCGGCTCACGGAGCCCTTGTCTGCCAGGAAAAAAAAAAAAAAAAAAAAAACTTGATAAGAAGCAGAAATAGCCCCAGGCCCCTCATTCATATGCAAAAGCCCAGGTTCTCATTGGGAAGAAGGGACAACAGACTCAAGGAACTAGTCACTGCTGGGACCTGGAGCTTAGGCTTCACTGAGAAGCAGGTGTGGATGTGGCAAGGGGCAGGCTGATCTTGCAACCAAAGGGAAGAGAGAACTGAGCGTGCTCAGCCAGTACTAGAACACCTTCCCCTGGAATGCTCCCAGGAGTGCTCTTTGAAATGGTGAGAGCCGCTCTCCCAGGCCTGGGTCGGCATGTCTCAAATGTCAATGTGCAGAACAACACAAGACCGATCACCAGTGCAGATTCCAGCTCCCCGACCCTCAGCTCCAGGGAGTCTACCCAGGACACCTGCCCCGGGCTGCGGATGTCCCAAGTCCCCTGCGGTGTGGGACACTGGCCACCTGGAGGATATCGCCATAGGGAGTACTTGAGTTTGCAGCCCTGAGCCTCCCAGCAGCTGGGACATTTCACACCGAAAGGACACCGGCTTGCTTGTTTAATTAGCGAAGACCAGACCTCTATCAACCTAGCAATGTTCCCTATTAAAACCTCTGTTTGGGGCTTTTTTTTTTTTAAATGTCTGCCTTAAAGTATCTGGTGGTCTGTTTCCTGTCACTAATATACTTTAATTTTCTTTTAATTGACTTGAAGGTCATTTTGTGGGATGCCAGATAGGACAGGGTCAGTCACAGCCAATGAAAGTCATTTGTTGGTGGCAAAGGACAGCTAGGGCTGATTTAGCCTCCAATGAATATGTGTTTCACTCCCTACTCACCCAGTGGACTGTAAGGGGGGCCAGTGAGATTAAGGGAAGGGGAGAGGCCCAGCATCCCCTTTTGTTCCAGCCAGTACCTGAGCAAGGCCCAGATGGACACCAGCCCTCAACCCGGCTTCCAATAACTTGGTGTCTGAAGCACATGGGATCCATTCTTTCAGGGACTAGGAAATTATGTTAAAAAAAAAAAAA